TATCTTAACGTAATAAACTAGGAGGGAAAAATGTTGAATGTTTCAGTTTCTTAGAACCTTCCAAAGTTTCCTGATCACCAATGTACAACACTGTGAGAAAGCTGAAAAGTAATTTGCTTTAATAACATGCATTCAGTGTACTGTAACAGTTCACCATAGGGTGAAGGTAAGGACTCCTGCTCCACGATAAGTCATGATATAAGAAGAAAGGCTTGATGTTAAATCATTATTGGTAACTCCGCAGGTTTTATATAGACATGAGTGATGTCAGTATCCATGGTAGGGCTTCTCTCAGATGTCTCAGATAACAGCTAAATAAATAAATAAATAGAAAAATATGATTTCTTGAGATAATATCAAATATTGATAATCACACACAAATATTATTAATAATAATACTACAAATTTACTATTGGTTTAGCACTCAGCAGTTTCAGCATATACGGAAAGGCAGATTTTCTTTATTTTTCTGTCCTGGCATGGTTGACATGATACTGCTCCTGATGGCGTAGTTGGTGTTTATGTTGGTGAACTTCAGCAGGGATAACTTGTTTTTTCTTGACTCCAGGTTCTTCAGTTCACAGGACTCAAGTGCACTTATTTATCCAACATAATCTTTACCCAAAATAATTTTTAGACAATAATTGTTGTTGAAAAAGTGGCTACAGTCGTAGTATTCTTAAATGGTACAATAATCCAGCAGAATAAGATATTAAATGTTCCTTGCAAAATAACAATGACTACCAGCCTATCCAGTTCTAAAAGAGACAACTACAAACTAAGAATACTGAAATATCACAGAATAGTGATAAACATTCAATATTGATGTAGTCCTGCAGTGTATTGAAATATCACAGAATAGTGATAAACATTCAATATTGATTTAGACCTACAGTGTATTGAAATATCACAGAATAGTGATAGACATCCAATATTGATGTAGACCTCCAGTGTATTGAAATATCACAGAACAGTGATAAACATTCAATATTGATGTAGACCTGCAGTGAATTGAAATATCACAGAATAGCGATAAACATTCAATACTAATGTAGACCTGCAGTGTATTGAAAAATTACAGAATAGTGATTAACATTCAATATTGATGTAGACCTGCAGTGTATTGAAATATCACAGAACAGTGATAAACATTCAAAATTGATGTAGACCTGCAGTGTATTGAAATATCACAGAATAGTGATAAACATTCAATATTATTGATGTAGACCTGCAGTGTATTGAAATATCACAGAATAGTGATAAACATTCAATATTGATGTAGACCTGCAGTGTATTGAAATATCACAGACTTGTGATAAACATTCAATATTGAGGTAGACCTCCAGTGTATTGAAATATCACAGAATAGTGATAAACATTTGATATNTAAACATTCAATACTGATGTATACCTGCAGTGTATTGAAATATCACAAAATAGTGATAAACATTCAATATTGATGTAGACCTGCACTGTATTGAAATATCACAGACTAGTGATAAACATTCAATATTAAGGTAGACCTGCAGTGTATTGAAAAATCACATAATAGTGATAAACATTCAATATTATTGATGTAGACCTGCGGTGTATTGAAATATCACAGACTAGTGATAAACATTCAATATTGATGTAGACCTGCAATGTATTGAAATATCAATCAGTAGAACTGCAATATACTGAAATATTACAGAATAGTGATAAACATTCATTATTGATGTAGACCTGTAATGTATTGAAATATCACAGACTTGTGATAAACATTCAATATTGATGTAGACCTGCAGAGTATTGAAATATTACAGAACAGTGATAAACATTTAATATTGATGTAGGCCTGCAGTGTATTGAAATATCACAGAATAATGATGAATATTTAATACTGATGTAGACCTGCAGTGTATTGAAATATCACAGAATAGTGATACACATTTAATACTGGTGTAGACCTGCTGTGTACTGAAATATCACAGAAAAGTGATTAACATTTAATACTGAGGTAAACCTGCAATGTATTGAAATATCACAGAATAGTGATAAACATTCTATATTGATGTAGACCTGCAGAGTATTGAAATATCACAGAACAGTGATACACATTCAAAATTGATGTAGACCTGTTGTCTACTGAAATATCACAGACTAGTGATAAACATTCAATATTGAGGTAGACCTGCATTGTATTGAAATATCACAGAATAGTGATAAACATTCAATATTGATGTTCACCTGCAGTGTATTTAAATATCACAGAATAGTGATAAACATTCAATATTGAGGTAGAACTGCAATATACTGAAATATTACAGAATAGTGATAAACATTCATTATTGATGTAGACCTGTAATGTATTGAAATATCACAGACTAGTGATAAACATTCAATATTGATGAAGACCTGCAGTGTATTGAAATATCACAGAATAGTGATAAACATTCAATATTGATGTAGACCTGAAGTGTATTGAAATATCACAGAATAGTGATAAACATTTAATATTGATGTAGGCCTGCAGTGTATTGAAATATCACAGAATAGTGATAAACATTCAATATTGATGTAGACCTCCAGTGTATTGAAATATCACAGACTAGTGATAAACATTCAATATTGATGTAGACCTCCAGTGTATTGAAATATCACAGAACAGTGATAAACATTCAATATTGATGTAGACCTGCAGTGTATTGAAATATCACAGAATAGTGATAAACATTCAATATTGAGGTAGACCTGCAATGTATTGAAATATCACAGACTAGTGATAAACATTCAATACTGGTGTAGACCTGCTGTGTACTGAAATATCACAGAATAGTGATAAACATTCAATATTGATCACCTGCAATGTATTGAAATATCACAGACTAGTGATAAACATTCAATATTGATGTAGACCTGCAGTGTATTGAAATATCACAGATTTGTGATAAGCATTCAATATTATTGATGTAAACCTGCAGTGTATTGAAATATCACAGAATAGTGATAAACATTCAATATTGATGTAGACCTGCAGTGTATTGAAATATCACAGAATAGTGATAAACATTCAATATTTAGGTAGACTATTGAAATATCACAGAATAGTGATAAACATTCAATATTGATGTAGACCTGCAGTGTATTGAAATATCACAGAATAGTGATAAACATTCAATATTTAGGTAGACCTCCAGTAAATTGAAATATCACAGAATAGTGATAAACATTCAATATTGATGTAGGCCTGCAGTGTATTGAATTATCACAGAATAGTGATAAACATTCAATACTGATGTAGACCTGCAGTGTATTGAAATATCACAGAATAGTGATAAACATTCAATATTGATGTAGACCTGAAGTGTATTGAAATATCACTGAATAGTGATAAACATTTAATATTGAGGTAGACCTACAGTGTATTAAAATATCACAGAACAGTACTGATGTACCTAGAACAGTACTGATGTACCTACAACCGCCAAAAAAGTTCTCTGAAAAAAGTTTTCGGAAATAATACTAATTTTTTATACAAAAAAGTCCTTTGGAAAAAAGTCCTTGAAATCAAAAGTCTGTGGAAATAAATTCCGGCCTTCCATTTGAGACTTTATTTTCAAGGACTTTTTTCTGGTTCCAGTTTGATTTTATTCAAAAATGTCCCCTGTAAAAAAAACGATGTTTACAACCATCCAAAAACAGAGGCTTGATATTCAAAACACCCTTGGCTATATTCAATATATAGATGCATAGTACAAAAGTCCTGTTTATGAAACGTCTCAGACTTGACCTCATTTCCACAAGACTTTCACAGGACTTTTTTTCTTGGATATATTTTCCACAGGGAGCTTTAATTCCTGCGATCTTATTTCCTGAGACTTTATCGGCCAATGGCAACCTCTATACTATTGGCCAATGGCAACCTCTATACTATTGGCCAATGGCAACCTCTATACTATTGGCCAATGGCAACCTCTATACTATTGGCCAATGGCAACCTCTATACTATTGGCCAATGGCAACCTCTATACTATTGGCCAATGGCAACCTCTATACTATTGGCCAATGGCAACCTCTATACTATTGGCCAATGGCAACCTCTATACTATTGGCCAATGGCAACCTCTATACTATTGGCCAATGGCAACCTCTATACTATTGGCCAATGGCAACCTCTATACTATTGGCCAATGGCAACCTCTATACTATTTTAGAATGATAAGTCTGCAGAGGAATCTAAAGCTCAGGACTTTATTCTCAGTGACATAATGTTCTAAGACTTCGGAAATAATGATGATGTATTACAAAGACAACAATGATATGTAATTAGATCAGCATATCTATCAAGAAATGTTAGTATAAATCAACACTCATATTCTTGTGTTTCAGACTGAAATGATGAAAATCTTTGCATGCTATCTTTTCTACACAGGAAAAAATGCTAATTGGCAGCTTGAATTTAATACTTTTTTTTTAATTGTTTAATTGCTGTAAAGGAATTGATATTTTGCCACAAACTCAAATTTCTAATCCTTATTTCTTTACAATGTAATGATACACCTTTGGTAATTCATAAGACTATTGGATCCAACAGAATTCATAGTTTGAAATATCAAAGGTCTCCAACATCGAGTTCCAAGGATACATATCGATTACAGGAGAAATTAGTTCTAAAAGTAATACTTGCCACATTTCTATAACCCTGAGTCTTAGAAATGGTCCGAATCTGCAAAGTTATCTTTTCCAAGTGTATTGAAATCCTGACATTGTCTTGAAAACAGTTACGGAATTTAATATTAAAGAACTCCATTCATAATTTTGATTTTAGAAAATAGTTTGATTTCAAATCAGAAATGGTTGTACTCGTCATGCTTAATAACATGTTGGTCATAGTTTTTAATATCGAAATTCACTCTCAATATGAGCATGGATACTAAAACCCCAGTCTTAGTTAGTGTTAGTTTTAGAACTAACGTCCACTGGACTATAGAAAATAAAAGTTTGTACCTGAAATTCAGTTCATTTGGGGCACCACTAAACAAACCTTTCCATCATCAGAATTTTTTCATTTGTCAGAAATACTTGCTAACAGTGTTGTTGGGCTTTATACTGGAGTTTCCTTCACAAGAGAAACTGGTAACTAACATATATTCCATCAGATATATCTGAATAGAGGTAAATACTCTGCCCTTACCCTTCTTATTGTCGGTTTCTACAATCGACACCTGATTGGTTGCAGTTATAGACATTTCCCAGGATATTAATGAAAGATAAATTATTCTTCAGATTAATAGAAAGAGGAGATCAAGCATTGATATCGATATCCACAATTATAAAGTTTTTAGCTTAGTTTCTAATCCCTTACTATTCTAACATATTAAGGCAAGAAGACCTTCTACTCTGTAACTAAAACCACATCCTTAAACCTGCAGGATTGTTTATTCCAGTGCGTTGCTCTGCAGCATTGTGACACTGTGGAGTTTAAGGTTCAAAGCAATACTATTAAAATATGATTTTGTTGAATTTCTGTAATAAGGGTTTGCATTGCAACCTAGAGTATATACAGGGCTGGGCGTCGTTCTTGGCAAACAATCGTTTATTCATGGGAACGAACGGAATGAACCAAACGGAGTGGAAAAAAACGGAATGGAACGAACTGAACGGAACAAACGATTACAAAAAAAGTAGGAACGAGCTTAGCCCTCAGCATATCAATTAATATGATAATTATTCATCAAAATGTTTCCACGTATAATTATTTCTTCAAAAATTGTATCTCTAATTGCATATTTTATCAATTAAACTGTTATATAACTATTGTGATTTAAAACTAAACTATAGACAATAATAACCAGAACTTAAAACTAGATATTTAGGAAGGGAATAAAGAGTGCACCCTTGGTCAAAAACAAGGTGAACTTATTGTTAACAGAGAAAATAAAAAATGGGAATTTAATTTTTAGATTGCAGGGGTCATAATATTCTAAACTGGTTAGACTCTCTAGACGACTATAGCAAACATAAAATGTCATGTCAATGTCTAACAGTGATTTCATCATAATATCCACTTGATTTATCATTCAGGGATTTGGCAGGAGGCCAGCTACAGCTCAACTGAGATCTGGGCAATGTCTAGACCTACTGGTAAAGTTTGTATTTAAGACATCTGAAAACATTCAAATTTAAGCATAGGCAATCTTATTAATTTAAAACTTTCGCAATATACAGCGTTTTATCCACTAAGGCAATGTACAAATTGATGGGAAAATTCTTGAGCCCTTATTTTATGACAACTGACCCTACAAGATTCAATAGAAAACAATGTAATTTCCCCTAATTATTGAGGAATTATCTTTTCCCTTTCTAAGTAATTTTATAGAAAATTTTCATATTTAAAATTTCTCAATATTGTATCCAATTTTTCATATTTTCAAGAGGATTTTCACTATTCCTAGTGGATTTTTCCATATTTTCTTGTTTAAATTAATTTTATAGAAAATTTTCCCCATTTTAAATTTTCCTAATTATGTAAGGAATTTTCCCTATTTTTAAGGAAATTTCCCGTATGTTACCTTTTAAAGTGATTTGAAAAAAAATGTTCCCCAATTTATGTTTTAAAGTGAATTTTCACTATTTAAAATGTATTTTCCCTATTTTATGGGGAATTTTCCATATTTTGGAATTTTCCCTATTTTCCCTTTTTAAAATGATTTTAGATTTTCCCTATCACAAAGGGAATTTTCACTATCTTTTGGGGAATTTTCAATTTTCCCTTTTAAGATGATTTTAATGAAAATTTTCCCTATTTTTTTTATTTTCCCGATTGGTTAGGCACTATCCCTTATTTTTAAGGGAATTTTTCCTAATTTGGGAAAATTTTTCAGTTTAACCTTTTTATGGTGTTTTAAACAAAATTTTCCCTATTTTATATTTTCCAAATTATGTAGGGAATTTTCCCTATTTTTGTAATAAGTGTAAATTTAAATGTAAATGTAAATTGCAAATCCTCTTTGTAAACTTTATATCCCTGTGTAAATTATTCACTTTATATGACTTGTTTGTAAATTAAATGTAAATTGTAAATCCTCGTTGTAAATTTTATATCCCTGTGTGAATAATTCACTTTATATGACTCGTATGTAAATTTACAATTTACTTATTTACTTTGGAGTTTGGACCCGCCTAACCAGAGTAGGTTGTTTTAATTGGTTGGCCCACTATAAACGAATGAGAATTGCAGATAAAAACAATGTACATTGTACATTTTAAAAAAAAGAATCTAGGGCAGCAATTTCTGTTTCTGGGTGATTTTCTGACTTGTTATTTTCCTTGGAGTTAGTAGCCCTTGGAGGTTTTTCATGGTTTGCATTTTTCCTACCAGCCATTTTATACACCCTGTATAAATTGTTGACTGAACTATCTATACATGAACTTATAGATAATTAGTGCCAGGTGACCGAGCGCACACACACACACTCACGTCTTGTCACCGTGAAGGGTAAGAACTAACTGTAATGTAAATTGTAAATCCTCTTTGTAAACTTAATATCCCTGTGTAAATTATTCACTTTATATGACTTGTTTGTAAATTAAATGTAAATTGTAAATCCTCTTTGTAAACATTATATCCCTGTGAAAAATATTTACTTTATATGACCTGTATGTAAATGTAAATGTAAATTGTAAATTCACTGTGTTAAGATTATATCACTATGTGTAATATTTACTTGATCCAAAGGTTATCAACTCTTATGGTTAGATGATTTGACTCTCAACATTATATTAAAGCATGTTACATTTTAAATATTCAATTATGAGATGTTTTAAATTAGATAACTAAATTACTATTTTACAAAGTAAGAAATAATAGGCTGTAACTGCATATATCAGATACATTTAATATTATTACAGGCTGTATTCCTGATGAATGTCTGAAACCTTCAACTCGTAGATTAGGAAAGGATTAGGTTTTTCAGCTGTAGACATATCTTTGAACAGTATGCTGATAGTATAATCATTCAGAAATTAAATAACATTTTATTTTGATTCTTTTATTAAATTGTAAAAAAAACTTGATCCTTTATTTCAGGAAATAATTTTGCAGGTATGTACATTATTTGTTCATTCCGAATTTCCGAATCAGTTTAATCTGACAACTGCAATGCAAAAATTCTTTAAAATTTTCCATTTTTAATTGGATAATCTTAATATGTTTCAACTAAACTAGCTCTAGCTATCATAAATTGATATAAACCACAATTATAAACATGTATTTTGATGAAAGAATTTCCATTATTTTTGACAACGTTTAAAAGATTTGAAAACTAGGTTAATAGAACTCAAAGTGAATAAATACTAAAGTGGAAAAGACTGAGGCAACGACGACAGGTTGGGCGATAAGGTTTTATTTGGTTTGGAAATTACATGAAAAAATTTCGTTTGGAAAGTAAAGACTAGAAAAAATAGACTAAAGACCCATGTAAATGTCGTCTTTAGTTAGCTTCGAAATTTTCCTGATAAAAATAAAAAATATTTTTGTATGTTTGTATGTAGCTTATATGTAAATACTATATATAGTCGCTTAATCAATTCATTGATTTTGCCTGGCCCTTATAATTCTAAAGGAATTTATCTTTAAAACTGCTTTCTTTCAAATCTCACGTTTCTTAAACACTATGTTATTATCCAGAGGCGTGTTAAGGGGGGGCGATGGGGACTCATCCCCCTTCTGGATCAGTGAAATATATGCTTTTTTTTTTTGGGGGGGGGGGGGTTGGCCACCCCCCCCCATAAAAAGAAAAAGAAATGTAATTCCTTCCTGGGAAAAAAACTATAAGACCTGAATACGCCTCTCTTAATATCGTTAAAGCTATGTCTAGCTCTCAACCACTCTTAAATCTGTCAAAATACAAAAGTGAAGACCAAGAGATATATTTCGAAGATCTTCATATTTCGGTTTCACAAATTGTGCAGTAAAATGGCTAAAATTTACTTCTGAAATCTTAATTTACGTTATTCTATATTTAAGTTATATACAAATTTCTAAGTCTGTGTTTGTAAACAAAGGAAGTCCAGTTTCTGTTGTACTGTGCACTCCGTACAAATCAATATATATATATATATATTTAAACACTTGGGACATAAAATGTCGTCATCCAACTATGAGTTTGGCCCACTTTAATCACTTTGAATAGAACTAGGTTAATTTCAGTGCTTTTAACAGCTTCCGCCTATGATTGTGGATGTAAATGTGTGACTACCAGGGGATGTACTGACTTCAGTTACAGAATCTCTTTAAAGCAGTGTTACTTAAAGAATATAGTTACCAATCCTGAGATTCATAATGATCATGTTTCTGGGGTTCTTAATTGTTAACGTATGTAACAAGATAATGTGAACAATTAATTGTAAAAAGGAGATAACAGAATAAAATATTAAAATTAGTCTTTTGGCAGCTGAAAAAAATAAAACCCCAGTTCCTTTAGGAGGAAAAATGTCCCAGACCAACCAAATACATAATATACTTGTGATAAAGATGTAAGCAGATGTAAATGGATTTAACGTAATGAAGAAGATTCTTTTAACATTTGAAAGGTTTTTCAAGATATAAAATAATATAAAAAGACATAAAAATATTTGACTTTTTTAAAAAAACATTCAGGTATTGTTCATTAACGACACATTTCTTTTGTTTTATTCAAATCATAAATTAGAAATTTAATTTGTTTGTTAGTGTTCATCTTCGTTAATTGTCTTTCTATTTTCTTCCTTTCTAAATAAACGTTTGTTCAGAGAAAACGTTAGCTCAATGATTTCGTTACCACAATAAAACTATTTGTTCAGTTTCAAGCTTATAAAACTTGATGAGGTTGGTTAAATCTTTATTAAAGAACAAATGTTCAAAAGATCAAAATCAAACCAAATGTTTTTGTATCATATTTAGCATGAGATTCGAACTTATTTTTATATTCTCATATTTCATCGTAATTTTTTCTAATCGGTGTTTTCTTTCAAATCTGAAATAAAAATGACACAAAAGAAAGAATGACATATATTTTACGGACACAAAAAAAGAGAATATAAAAATACATAACGAAAGAAAGAAATATCATAATTACTCAATGAAATATAGAGATAAATGGATATTAGAATTAAAAGAATTATACGTACAAGAAAAAAAATCCGCAAAAAAATAACACTATAAGGTTATTTCCCCAGCGCAACTTCCCCAGTCACAACTTTCCCGAGACAACTTCCCCAACAGCAATTTCTCCAACAGCAATTTCCCAAACAGCCAATTTCCCAAACAACAATTTCCCCAATCACTAATTTCCCCAACAGTAATATTCCCAACAACAATTTCCCCATGCAGTAAACACAGCAATTTCCCCGACAACAATTTCGTTTTTAACATTATTCCAATGAACAAATGCGCAATTTGAAGATCAAAAAAAATCGTAACTTTTAAAATGTGAAAAACCCAATCAGAGCTGAAAACTTTAGAATGGTGGATATCGAGATCAATGCTTGATCTCCTCTTTTTCTTAATCTCCAGACTAAATAGTGCTTGTTCTCATCTTGTTATTAATCTCCAGATTAATTAACCGATCGGGATTAAGGATATCCCATTCTAAAGATTTCAGCTCAGTTGGGTTAGAGTCGTCATGCTAGCAGTTTATACAATGCCTCGAAGAAGAGAAATGTTCTGGTGGATTCCAAGTATGAGTATAACGTACAATCAAGGTCAATCGACAAAACTAAATCATTCTGGAACTGAAGGAGTCTGATAACGTCATCCAACAACCATAATACTAATATATAAACCATGCAATTGCAAAGTGTGGAGCTTCCGCCATTGAAAAACAGCAAATTAGCAATACTGCGGCCAACCCTAATATTTTGCAGACAGGTCGGTTCTGGTAAACTTAGCCTCAGAATTTAAAATTTATTGATTTAAAAGACTAAGTTATTTTTGAGTAAATATTTCACCAATTTTACAGTACATTGTGGAGAGTCTGTGACAAAAAAAATGTCGGACAAAAATAATTTTCATAATTTCATTTTCATTCAAAATTACTGTGGCATAATTCATTCTCAATTGGGCTATTTTTGTATAATATAAGTGGAGGAGGGGGCGATTTCTTCCCTCACCCCTTATAATTTTGCTTTTAAAGTTGAGATATGGGAGTGTGATACAGGTCACTTATCCAACTTATCCAGACCAGCTTATAGAAAATTTATACTTGTAACTTTAAGGATAAATTAGGGAGGATATTAAAAAATATTTCAAAAAGTAAGCCAGAAAAATGTAAATGTTCTGTTTTTTTTGTTTGTTTTTTTTTAACATCGACCAGCCGTGTCCGCTATCCCACCTTATGCACTGATTTTTTTATGAACTTTGTGGTTCATGTTGCTCATGTTGGTTTTTAAAGAAAAGAAAGCACACTTTTATGCAAGTGACCCTTCATGCAAAGATTGCCCGATATTTTCCATTGTGGTTTCTCTACTGCAGGAAAATATATAGAAATTATCCGATCACTTTTAAACCTAGAAAAACGACAATATCTCCCATATTGTTTATTAGATTAGATTTCAAGGGTACCGTTGTGAATCGGGCATTGCCATCTTTGCAACCTCGGTAACAGTTTTTTAATATAAATTTTTGAAATCTGTGTGTAAATACATAAAAATCCAAAAAGGAATTAAGTCTTTGCCACAAACTCTGATTTTCTAATCACTATATCTTTGGAACCAAATGTTGTAGACCTTAGATATTTCAAACTATGAATTCTGTTAGATCAAATAATCTGAGTTTGAAATATCAAAGGTTTACAACATTGGGTTCTAAAGATATTGAGGTTAAAATATTTGATTTTGTTCCAAAGACTCAATTCCTTTGATCACTTATTTTTAAAGTTTAAAAGTTTACGTTATTCATTATAATTGAATTATAATTTCTTTGGACAACCGGTTAAACTGTTAAGCCCGCATCTCAAATAGCAAAACTAATCAAATTAAAGTTTAAAAGGGAAGGGAAGCGTAATTTCAAGTGACCCTCCATGCAAAGATGGCAATGCCCGATTCACAACAGTACCATTTAAAGAGGTACTTGAAACCTTTATTTTTTAAAGCGAAGCATTTTTCGAAAAGTCTTCTATCTATAGACTAAATTGTTTAATCTGATAATTCCTAACTTTCGCAAACAGTCTCTTTCACCCCAGAAAATGATGAACTGTCTTGCATCCTTCAAATACCTTGCATCATATACATTCCGATTGCACCCTAACACAATATACATGACAAATCCAAAAGCTCTTTCAAGTACAGAGAGTACAGATGTGCCTAAGAAATCCTGAAAGGGGGCGAGTAAAACTATTTGTTTTGATCGTTTTGCAGGTTTAAAAATATTGGCATAATAAACCAAACGAAAATGTTTTCCAAATTTTTTTATTCTAAACATTTGTTTTTCTTAAACTATACCAAATTTGGCTCTGTAGATAATGTTCTCAAAAACAAAAAAGAAAGTATCATAACGATAGTGTTTTGGTTAGTATTTCCTTGTTTTAGGATAAAAATATTGCAAAGTTTTATAAAATTAATCTTTAACAGAATAAAGGTTTGAAATATTGCATTTTGTATTAAAAAATTTTGAAAAAAGAAACAAACTACCAACACTTATGAGAAAAAAGCTGAAAACTAGATTTATACTTGAAAAACTGATTTTTGAATGTTTTCAAATATGTCTGTGTTCCTTGATGAGCTATTTATTATCTGTTAATTTGCAATCATTTTTAACATAATCTTATTTTGTAGTTTTGTAAGCTTTCGTTTTTTATTTTTTTGCTAATTTTTATTCAATTTGACTCTTTTTTTGCATTTATTCAAATTAATTTTACTTAAATAAACTGAGTTTTTGCCACAAACTCTGTTTTTCTAATCCCTATTTCTTTGAGTCCCTTTGTTGTAGACCATCGATATTTCAAATTATGATTTCTGTAAGATCAAATAATTCAAGTTTGAAATATCAAAGATTAACATCACCAGGATACAAAGATAAGGGGTTAGAAAATTTAAGAATGTGGCAAAAACTCAGTTCCTTTATAATTGAATATGTGAAGACTAATTTTTGCAAATACTTTGACGTAATGAACAATGTTTTTTTTTGCCCACGTGGTTCTGGAAACAAAGATGGCTGACTCAGCAAAATCAGCTGTTTTTATAGACTAACATTCAGCTGACATAGACAAGGATTCTCAGGCAGTTGTTATACAATCAAGAAAAAGTGTTTGTTAAAGTTTTTGTTAGACAAAAACTTTAAAATTTTCGCAATATAAAAAGAAGGCATTTCGAAATTTCAAACATTTTTAATTAAAATTTTAAACAGAATATCAAGGATATCTCACAAATTTAATTATTCCTAACATCGTTCTCTTAGATCAAAATGTTTTTAATCTAAAATGTTTTTGGTAATTTCGCCATTTTGCACAAAATGATAAAATATTAGGGTTTCTTCGAACCAGGTGAATAATTCAACACATGCACAGGGGCGTATACAGGAATAATTCAACACATGCACAGGGGCGTATACAGGAATAATTCAACACATGCACAGGGGCGTATACAGGAATAATTCAACACATGTACAGGGGCGTATACAGGAATAATTCAACACATGCACAGGGGCGTATACAGGAATAATTCAACACATGCACAGGGGCGTATACAGGAATAATTCAACACATACAGGGGCGTATACAGGGATAAATCAACACATGCACAGGGGCGTATACAGGAATAATTTAACACATACACAGGGGTGTATACAGGAATAATTCAACACATGCACAAGGGCGTATTCAGGAATTAGTCCAGGAAGGAAAAACTCCTAATTTAGGGGACAGCGCAATAGCCCCCTCCTCTTGTATTCCCAACAAAACATGAAAGTAAGAGATTCCTGTAATCTGACGCTACTAGTTTTGATATCTCTGCTTGTTCAGTAATTATATTAAGGAAAAATCCTTCAAAATAAAACAGCGTTGTATTTTATTTTTATATTACTGAAGAATGTAAACTGCTAACTTCTAACTTCTTCCTCCTTTAATAATGTATTCTAACAAATAATTAATCAACCCAAAATATATGTTTGCAGCCATATAGTAACAACATGATTGCTTTTTATTTGTAATTTCCTATCTTTTATAAATCTGCCTCTTTCTAACTCCCCCCCCCCCCACGCCCATCAATGCACTGAAATAACCAAATTTTCATACTTTTTTTTAGCAGATCTTAATCATAAAGATTATTTTTTAAATTTTGCTTCAACAATTAAGAATTCAGTCAGGCATAGTTGGGGTTTCTTTTCTAATGCCTTTTTTAACATCTTGGACTATTTGACTGTCTCCACATCATGATAATATATATTTTTATTAAGATACATTTTTAGAAAAAATATAACATAAAATAAAAAATATAGCATGCATAAGCTCTAAAAAGGCAAATAGACAGACGGTGAACTAAACATTTCGATAAAGTATGATTATAAAATAAGTCTATGTTTGAAATATGTAATGGCTGCCGACTAATCAGAAATTACATTTAAAACGTTCAGTTTTACTCTCTACCTTCAGTTAGCATTGACAAAGGTCAAGATAAACATAGAACTTCTGAATTGAACATGAACAAACTGATTATTCTGGGTCTTTTCCTCACCTCGACCAACTGCAGGCGTCAATTCATATCATTCTTATCTTACCATTTTTTCTATTTTGATTTTAAGTTAATAATCTTTTACTGATTACTTACATAACTCTGTATATGATTTTGTAATCTCTATATCTTTGCAACCCTTATTATAGGGTCTGTTTGCGCTTTTGATCACTACTAATCTTGTATGGGCACTACGTTCTTCGATATGAGTCGTTTTTAACAATTTTCTCCTTATAGACGCAAGATTACTAGTGAAATTAAACATGAGATTTTTCATTTTAATAAATGTTCATAAACTTCCATTTTCCCAAAAAAAATTAGCAAGACATGCATAACTTTAAAAGTTTTTTTTGAGACTTTTTTTCTTGAAAATATGAATTGTTGAATTCAGGTTTATAATAATAGATCCTCAGGATAAAGAGAGTATCAAGGACTCTACAAGTATTCCTGAAGACATGAAAATGTTCCTGCTTAATAAACTTCAGCCTCTAAACTATATGCAAACAGGACAAGGATCTGACATCGAATCAGAAAACCCTGACAGTCAAATCCCAAGACCTGACATTCAATCCCCCGTCGTTGACCTCACCAACTCCAGTTTTGACCTCCGGCTCCACCAGCCTCAAAACCATTCCAACCCATTCCCCCTAGAGGAAGAGGCTGACGATTATAAGAATATTTCTTCAGATCAAAAAATCACACTGCCCCCAAGTAACAAAGCATCTAGAGATAATTCAAAAATAAACTCTACTGATGATCAATCAGACGATATTGTGGCTGATGACACTGTCAACGAGGTCTCCACTGATGATGATGAGAAGAATCACCATAAATCAGCAAGAATGCTTATGGACTCGATTGCCCAACCTAGTTCACTGGAGGAAGTGATCCTCCGACTGAGGTTACTCCGGGATGCAAAGATTGCTAGGAAAAAGTTCCTCTATCGGTTCAACAAATTACACAGAAGGAAGGGGAACAGATTTTCTCAAATTCATTCAAGAAAGTTGTAAAAAATATTTTTGCATGTTGACACCGTGAAAGAACTAAATGATCTCAATATTTATTATTTAATAGTTCGAAATAAACATTTTTGTGCAAAATATTTTAAAGTGTTTTTCAAATTTTGCCCAAAACTTGATAATTTACGATAATGCCAAAATAAGTGTTGAAAATATAATGACATTAATAACGTAATTCGTTGAAAAATAAAAACTACAAAATTGTTTTTAAATTTATTAAATTTGTGCTTTTTACAGCCTTGGAACTGCGCGTGCGTAGAATGGTTTAGGAGCCATGATAAATCCTGAAAAGAAACATTTATAGGGATTGTGAGTTAGCATTGAATTATATATCCACGTTTTTCCTGAAAATCTGTATTTTTCTACAGAAACGCTTCAAATATTTGAAAACTTTGTTTTCAAACTGTTCTATAATTATGGAATATTTATCTGTACTTTTTTTCGTTTTTTTTCTGCTTTTGCTCTAAAACTACCTTGCGCATTTATGCGGCGAGTCAAAGGGACAGAAATAGTAAGAATCGAACACTTTTTAAGATTGAAATAACGATACAATGAACAAAATCTAGTCTTTTAAAATGCCCCAAAAAACTTTTGTTGGGGTTTAAATATCAGAGTAAAATCATTATGAACAATAATCATTCTAACATTTTCAAAGGTCTTTTAAGAAAAACTCATGATTTTGAATCTATTTGTAAAATTTCCAATTGTTTTTTTTAGGACCAGGTGTAACATTTTAGTAAAAGTAGAATTAAATTGAAAGAATGAATGACCTGGAACAGGTGTAGGGAAGGGACCAGGATGATCAGGGCTTTCTGTAAAACTAAACTGTTGAATCAACCTAAAAAAATTAAAATAATAAAAATAAAAAATAATAAAAATGTTCCAGAATTTCTTCTAAAATTATGTTTCAGAATTTAATTAGCGTATTTTTACTTACTAAAATATAAAGATAGATGAGAAAAAATTGTAAATGGTGTGATTGGCTAAATATAATAGATTACAGGGGATATGAGTTCCAAAACTAACACTTGACCCATTTCTAACAATGAGTGTTAGAAATGGGCCAAATCTGCAAAGTTATCTTTTTCAAGAATATACATCTTAAAATCCAAGACAAGTAGAACAAAATTACTCCATATAAATATAAAAAAGACAAAAATTATATATTGAAACAATGAATGTCAATTTTAAACTAATAATAGGGTGTGAGAATTAGTTTTTGATGATTCTTGATTTCATTTTCTAAAATATCCCTATTTTGAAACAATTACCGGATTTTAGCTCATGTCTCGTTTTCGGAACATATCCTGGTTTTGAGATAATTACCGGAATTCATATCAATGACAATTTTCAAGTATTTACACACTTAAGAAACAAAACAAGATTATTTGATAAGGTAAAATATAAACAAAATAGAAAATAAAAAAAATGTTCTTTTATAGTTTAAAAATCATCACAGCATTTAGAAATCAAAATAGTAATATTATTTGTTCTTACAATAAAGATTTAACTAGAAATGCGGGAAACTGTTTGTTTTAATTAATTTAACAGATAAAATGTGGAAACTTAGATTCTAGAAATAATTCAGAAGTTAATTTAGTCTTCATAAGATAATTTTTGTTTTCAGTGATTTATTTTGTAAGTTATGAAAGTGAGTTTTGTTTTGAATTGTGGATTATACTCAAAAACGGGAAAGTGGGTTTTGTCTTTAAAACGCGACATTGATTCAAATTTAGGATATGTTCGAAAATGGAAAACCTAACATTGTCTTGAAAACGGTCAAGAGCTTTAATATAAAAAGAACTCCTATTATAATTTTGATTTAAAAAAAGTTTAAAATTAGGAATTGTTGTCCTTGTCATGTTTAATTAGATGTTGGTTATAGTTTTTTTTTTTTTATCGACTTTTATTCTGGATATGGGCCGGGATCCCAAAAACCCATACTTTCAAGTTGTGCCCATTTCTAACACTCAGTGTTAGAAATGGGCCAAGTGTTAGTTTTGGAACTAAAGTCTCCTGGATTAAGGTAAGCAATAGTTTTGACTTTTCCGTAATCAAAACAAAAACCTCAAAAATAAATTTAAAAAATTTTGAAATCGGGGTTTTTATTATATTATTTAATTGTAACATGTATGCCTAAAAATATAATAATAAAAAATACAGCTTTCCACTCATGTCTCAATTGTTAAACATGTATTAAATGCTAAGAATGAAATGCCTTCTTTTTCTTGGCAAAACGATATCTCTGGTTATTTAACTTCTGGATGTTGGATTTTAAGATTTTAAACTTTTTAGAATCTTTTCACTTCAGAATCATAGATTCTACCATAATTTAGCAAAATTTATTAAAGTCTTCCTCAAGCCAAGATAAACAGGGTGTCCGACCAGACATTAAAGTTGAGAGACGACTTAAAGATCGTCTTTGATCATATATCTTTGTTAAAATTAAAACGAAATATTTTATATCTCTGGTAATTTTGAAAGCACAAAAGAGACAAACCGCATTTTGGAATTGCAAAGGCTAATGCAATTTTGTGATAGTTATTAAAGAATTCTACGTCTAAGATTGGTTTATGAATCAGTGCGGCAAATTATTCTAAAGGTAACAGACGACCTTCAAGTCGTTTCTTAATTGTATTGTTTAGTGAGACACCCTAAAGTATATGATTGTCGAGAAAATACCTGGTACCGTGGGGCACCCTAAAGTATATGAGTGTCGAGAAAATACCTGGTATCGTGGGACACCCTGAAGTATAAGAGTGTCGAGAAAATACCTGGTACCGTGGGACACCCTGAAGTATAAGAGTGTCGAGAAAATACCTGGTATCGTGGGACACCCTGAAGTATACGAGTGTCGAGAAAATACCTGGTATCGTGGGACACCCTGAAGTATAATACCTGGTAAAAATGATAAAAAGTTCAGATTTTGCCAGAGATTCTCCTAAACACTGTCGTTTACCTAAACAATTAAAATCATGTAAAAATTGATTCTTAAAATCTGCAAAACTTCACTCCTCATGTCAACTAAACTTCACTCCTCATGTCAACTAAACTACACTCCTCATGTCAACTAAACTACACTCCTCATGTCAACTAAACTACACTCCTCATGTCAACTAAACTACACTCCTCATGTCAACTAAACTACACTCCTCATGTCAACTAAACTACACTCCTCATGTCAACTAAACTACACTCCTCATGTCAACTAAACTACACTCCTCATGTCAACTAAACTACACTCCTCATGTCAACTAAACTACACTCCTCATGTCAACTAAACTACACTCCTCATGTCAACTAAACTACACTCCTCATGTCAACTAAACTACACTCCTCATGTCAACTAAACTACACTCCTCATGTCAACTAAACTACACTCCTCATGTCAACTAAACTACACTCCTCATGTCAACTAAACTACACTCCTCATGTCAACTAAACTACACTCCTCATGTCAACTAAACTACACTCCTCATGTCAACTAAACTACACTCCTCATGTCAACTAAACTACACTCCTCATGTCAACTAAACTACACTCCTCATGTCAACTAAACTACACTCCTCATGTCAACTAAACTACACTCCTCATGTCAACTAAACTACACACCTTATGTCAACTAAACTACCCTCCTCATGTCAACGTTAAACTAACCTCCTCATGTCAACTAAACTACACTCCTCATGTCAACTAAACTACCCTCCTCATAACAACTAAACTACACTCCTAATGACAACTAAACTACACTCCTCATGACAACTAAGCTACCCTCCTCATGACAAATAAACTACCCTACTCATGACAACTAAACTACACTCCTCATGACAACTAAACTACACTCCTCATGACAACTAAACTACCCTACTCATGACAACTTCACTACTCTCCTCATGACAACTAAGCTACCCTTCTCATGACAACTACACTACACTCCTCATGACAACTAAGCTACCCTCCTCATGACAACTGAACTACCCTACTCATGACAACTTAATTACTCTCTTCTTAAGTATGAAATAATAACTATCTGGTTCTCATGGCTAAAAGCTACCTACCTACTCCAAAAGGAACAAAATGATCATGTTTTACAAGCTTCCCTTCTGGATTCAAAAACCTTCTAGGATTAAATCTAAAAAGATAGAAATTATCAATGTTAAGGAATAAAGGATATATCAAATTATGTTTTGTGCATTGTAAGGAATTGAGCCTGTGCCACAATCTCAAAATGTATAATCCTTATATTTTTGCAACCTACATGATAGACAGATTGAAAAAAATATCAATAGATAGGGTTTATAAAAACTGTATTTGTGGCCAAGACTCGATTCCATTGCAATTTCAAATCTGGCTCAAAATAGGGTAAATTAAGCGCATTTTCAAATTATTTGATAAATAAAACTGTTAAAAATTAACCTTTCTGGCTCAGACCAGATTTCAGGATCTCTCATAATATAATAGAGCATTGAAAACACAAACGTATTCCTAAACAAAATGTTTTAACAGGCGAAAAATCTGATAGTTGAAAAAAATATGAATTTATGAAAGCCTTAATCAAGAAGATTGAAACAATTGTTATCGAATTTATAATTTCTGTTCAGACGTAATTTTATTTTACATTCCTGTAAATATTCTGGAAAAAGTCATATCGACGACCTTGTAAACCCAGGTTCATTTAAAATTCGGTGATGGTAATGGACCAAACCTCTGTAGAGTAAAAAAGTAGATGTTAGTTCCACATTTATTGAAAATATATTTCGGTCTGGGTTGACCCTCGTCAGTTCTTGAGATTGTTTCTGTCACAAAGATTAAAAACAAACTCAGGTTCATTACAAGAACCGGGCTGACCATTAAGTAGCTAAAGCAAGCAGTATTACAGTACACATACAGTCTATGTACACGAGCCGGGACGGTACACCGAATGAATCAGCCCCTTCAAGGAATATTCTAGTGATTAGATTATCAGCAAATAATGGGACTGTTAACATAATTAAAGAGACCTCTATTTCAAAAGTCAATTTCAAAATGTTACCAATAAACCGTTAAATCTTATATAATCGTTTCAAATTAGGACAAAATCAAATCTTTCTCTATAATGCTGCGTAAGTCTTAAATTCACATTTACAGAGAATCCACAATTGAAAAACATCAAATATCAGCTAGAAAAACAAGGATATCTCATCAATTTTTAAATCTTGATGAGGCAAAAGTTTAAACAGTAACCGTGTGAATCGGACAAGCCAATATGTTATTCTTCAGAAATATACCATACCGTTCATTCAATAAATTTTAAGAGATTCGAATGCAAATGGAATGGCTATATGGGATATACAGCTGGTGTCCCACAAAACATGACATTTGGTGAACTGTTTAGAATGTCTTCCATTTACCGCATTAGATATTAAAGACGTTTTGCGGTTTATTTAGTTAAACAAATCTTTTGCTCAAATATGTTTTACTTTAAAATCAATTTTACTATAACATGGCAGTCCATATGTATTTTTTATTATTCTCTTAGGTATCAAACAACATAACAAATTATGGAAGAAGACATTTAAAACTATTCACCAAATGGCATGTTTCATGGGATTATTGCCTATGATAAAAAAATGATATCCCTGCGGAGCTATTGATCCCATTCTCTGTATCTCCATTATAGTGGCCTCAGTCAAAGGTAATCTGAAAAAATACCTATACAGTGTGAATTGAATATCGTCTTTGTTTGTTTCTTTCCATACAGACAGACCACACTATAACGTTTGTTGCAAGTGACATATTTATTAAAAATTAACCTTACCGTTTACAAAATAAAATCCTAAACTAAATTTCACAAAAAAAGCAGACGACAAAAATTTCCTTCCACACTCATGGTTCTTATCTTAAAAGATAAATAAAATACAAACAAAATATATTTAGAATCTTGCAAACAAATAAATATTATCTTGAGAAGGCAATTTTAGTCCTTTTTAATCCTAAACAAAATGCCAGTTTTTTGTTAGTAAGTATAGAAGACATGGAGAATTAAGCTGAAAAAATTACCCTATAGTGGTAGGCAATTATATCAATACAATGAAGACGACTTTGATTTGAAATTTGATTTATATCAAGCTATTAAACAGCATGGATACATATAAACATAGAAGCTGTTCATTTAAAAAGCTTCTAATTGATTACTTGTAAACTTGTATTTCGAAAAAGCTCGTTAAAAAGAAAAAAGTCGTCTTCATTGTTTTGAAATAATCCTGGTTGGACTATTTTTGTCTAATTTAGGATGAGTAAAGCTAAAAAATAAATTGGTAAATATTCGTCATAAATTAATACTTTTCACAACGAACCAACCGGGAAAAAATTAGAAAAGTTTTATGAGCACAGAAATTTTTGCAGTAAACTGAACTAAAAATGTCGGGTAAAGCACGGGAAAAAAAGAGAAAATTCTTTATGATTATGGAAATTCAAAAACATCAATTCAATTTAAAAACCGAATATTAGAGATTTTATTTATTTCGACAGTATTGCCAGATTTTTTATAGCATAGTAATATACAATCTTTTAGAATTCGGCAGATTAAAAAGATAATATTGTACAGGAAGAACATTTGAAGGTGGGTCGAAAATTTGGCTGGCTTGGGCTTCCAGTTCTTCTACTGAGATTATAATAAGCTCTCTTGAAAGTTTTTCAAAAATTTTAATGAACCGAATTTGTCAGCGCTGTTAACCTGATTATATTGTAAGCGCTGTTAACCTGACTTTATTTTCAGCGTTGTTAATCTGACTATATTGTCAGAGCTGTATGAATTTATTGTCATCGCTTTAACCTGACTGTTTTGTCAGCGCTGTTAACCTGGCAATACAGTAAGCGCTGTTAACCTGACTATTTTGTCAGCGCTGTTAACCTGACTATGTTGTCAGCGCTGTTAACCTGACTATGTTGTCAGCGCTGTTAACCTGACTATGTTGTCAGCGCTGTTAACCTGACTATAGTGTCAGGGCTGTTAAACTGACTATATTGTCAGCGCAGTTAACCTGACTATGTTATCAGCGCTGTTAACCTGGCAATACAGTAAGCGCTGTTAACCTGCCTATTTTGTCAGCGCTGTTATCCTGACTATGTTGTCAGCGCTGTGAACCTGACTATGTTGTCAGCGCTGTTAACCTGACTATATTGTCAGCGCTGTTAACCTTATTTTTTTGTCAGCGCTTTTAACCTGACTATATCCTCTAGTGCTGGTTTTCTATCTCCTATCTCTCTATCTAACTCCTCTTGAACTTCTTTCTGAACCTAGACAATTTAATACTAAAAATGGGATGTATAAAGTAATAACAAAAACTTTTTTTTCATTGCATAACAAACTATAATAATGGACTTTTTGAATAATAATTAATTTTTCGTTTGTAAAAATTTGTTCTACTAAAGTACATGATTTATCTTTTTGAAGTACATGATTTATATTTAGGAAGTACATGATTGACTTTTAGAAGTACATATTTAATCTTTTAAAAGTACATTATTGATCTTTAAGAGGTACATGAATGATCTTTTTGAAGTGCATGATTTACCTATTAGAAGTTCATGATTAATCTTTTAAAAGTACATGATTGATCTATTAGAAGTTAATGATTGATCTATTAGAAGTTCAAGATTGATCTATTAGGGTTACATGATTGATATTTAAAAATACATGATTGATATTTAAGAAGTACATGATTGATATTTAAGAAGTACATGATTGATATTGAGGAAGTACATGATTGATATTTAAAAATACATGATTGATATTTAAGAAGTACATGATTGATATTTAAGAAGTACATGATTGATATTGAGGAAGTACATGATTGATATTTTAGAAGTACATGATTGATATTGAGGAAGTACATGATTGTGTTGTTATTATAATGTACCTCTGGATGAAGAATCATGAATGCAACAGCCCAAGCCAATGTTGTTGCTGTGGTTTCACTTCCAGCAGAAAATAGATCCATTGCATTAACAATCAGCTGCTCATCTAGAGGGAAAAGTATTCTTTGAAAAAAATACTTTCTTGGAAATCTTTGTTATAAAGAAACTGTAGACATTAATTCAAGAGACTGTTTATTTAAGAATGGTATGTCCGACTTTAAGTGAAATGCGCATTTCTGCCTAAAAATACAATGAAGCAAAATATCAGAAATAAACACTTTTCAAGCTTGAAAAATCAGATAAACGTTTAAAGGGTATCGTTGTGAATCGAGCATATCCTACTCTAGTTAAAGGGTCACTTAAAATTACAATGTCAGTCCCATGAAAGAGAATTTTGTTTAGAGTTTATTGTTAAGAGTTGTTTTATTTCTGATTTAAAAGACGATCGGAAAAGCTCAGTTGAGTTGAATACTTCTGTCATCCATAAATTCTCAGCTCTTTAAAGGGAGTGTTCGCGAAAAATGAAAGGGGGTATAGGCTTAATGCGATAAAAAAGCGCTTTTGATCGCTACTAATCTTACTTCTATCTGTTGCTTCTATGAGGAGAAAATTGTTAGAAACGACTCACACGGAAGAACGCAGCGCCCATACAAATTCGGAAAGATGCAACATTCAACTCGGATCGTAAACAAATCAATTTAATTCCAAACAAATCATTCAGATATTACAAACAATAGTAATCGGTTATTTTTCGACGCATTCATATATAGTTAATATTTCATAATATTTTTGATTTTGTTTTTTTAGATTAATATTCGCTGGCGCTGGATTTTCGAACATTCCTGGAAAATATGAAAATGTCGTCTTCATTATCAAAAATCCTCGAAACAGGAAAAAATGTAACTCTCAAATCATGAAAAATACAAAATATTATGAAATAACAACTATTTACGAATGCGTCGAAAAATAATCGATGACTATTGTTTGTAATATCTGGATAATTTGTTGGGAATTAAATAGATTTCTTTACGATCCGAGTTGAATGTTGCATCTTTCTGAATTTGTATGAACACTACGTTCTTCGGTGTGAGTCGTTTTTAACAATTTTCTCCAAATAGACGCAACAGATAGAAGTAAGATTAGTAGCGATCAAAAGCGCTTTTTTATCGCATTAAGCCTATACCCCCTTTCATTTTTCGCGAACACTCCCTTTAAATCATTAATTTTTGTTTTAATGTTTTCATACCATTAAAGTCAGGAGATCCGCCGGTTTTCATTTCCCTAAAAACAAATGTCTTTAACTTCAAAATATTTTTACAAGCGATAGCATATTTTTAAGTTGGAGGGTGTTGCATAGTGTTTCAATTTTATTGTGAACGACGCATTATAGTAAATGACAATCTCCGCAAAATGAATAGTACGTTTTATATTCAAAACGAGATTGTAATATTATAATGTATTTCTACATTCAAATTTATAAGGTTTTTTACAATTAAAATTACAATTTATAATTGTGAACTTCACATAGTTCAAGAGTTGATGAACATATTTAATGCAGTTTTCCAATATAAAAAACTGACGAAAGCCCGGAATATAGACCTTCTTGTATAAAAAATCTACCTGAACAGGAAAAGACTTTAGAAACGAATTTAGTTCATCAGAAAAAATTGGTAAATTTGGTAAAAAAAAAAATTAAATTATTATTTTAAGATCACAGGGACCAAAGACGACTCTAGACTCAAGATAATTTATGATTTAAATAGTCTTAATAAAAATTAAACACAACAACAGTTGTGCAGTATACACTGACTCATTTCACTTAAACTAAGTTAAACATATTTGTTTTAACATCAAATGTTCATAAAATTACTTAAATATCGTTTTCCTATTCCACATTTTATTCGTCCCGCTGTAGAGAAGGACATCGTTTAGTGAACGAACATAATTGTTATTTTACTCAACGAACAATTTATTGTACGAACGATTTTATTGAACGGACAATTTCATTGAATGAAGCATTTTATTAAACGAACAATTTGATTAACAAACAATTTTATTAAACCAACGATTTTACTGAACAAACGGTCGTTCAATGAGAAAACGAACGAAGTAAAGAGAAAATAAACTGTAAATTTTAGAATGAACGAAATCAATTTTAGTTGAACGATTGAAAAAAAACGAACGAAATGGGTCGTTCAAACGATGAACAACCGAAATAAAAATGAACGCGTCCATCTGTATCCCCCTGTAACTCTAACCTGAGATAAACATCAATAAAATCCCTCATATTATCCTCCTGATAGGACTCCTTGTGCTCCTCAACTATTCTCCGCATCAGGTTTTGTGTTTCTCCGACAACCTGGAGAATAAAACCGGTTTAAAGGGACTGTCCTTCTAATTTTAAGTGACCCTTTAATCAAAAATTTCACAAGGAAATTGAGCATTTGACACAAACTCTAAGATTCTAATTTCAATATCTTTGCAACCCAATGTCATAATGTAATAAATATCGGGTTATACGATATTACGTTAAATTTGCAATACGTTGTATGTGAATAATCTATGTTTGTACATAAAAAAAACTATTTATTCATTTAAACAGCGTTCTAAATGAAAACGTTGATAGTTCATGCATGGGATTTTAGCCGTATGGATTGTGTCCTGTTTAAGACATTGATCCATTGATTGCTAGTGTCCGTATTGACACCTATAGCTAACGAGATCGCGCCCAGCGTAGTGGCGTTAATAGTTCATGGGATTGTAGCCGATGTGGATCTTGTCCTGTTTGAGACATTGATCAATCAATTGCTAGTGTCCGTATTGACACCAATAGCGAACGAATAATGCCCCCCGTTGTAGTGGCGTTGATAGTTCCTGGGATTGTAGCCGTGTAGATCTTGTCCTGCTTGACTTGGATAGTGGACTGGTTGAGCCTGGACTGATACAGTAATTCTGTTTTAAATCATCTAAGGTTGAAATATCAAATTTGTACACCATCAGGTTGCAAAGGTAGAGGGACTAGACAATTTAATTTTGTGACAAAGACTCAATTCCTTTCACAACTTTAGATGTTTGATACTGAGAAAAAAAAACCTTAATAGTCACAAATTTACAAATAGATTGAACCTGTTGCTGTTTATTCCATCCTGTCCATTCAGGGGCAAAGTGTCGGCTCACAGGGACTGCAAATAGAAAGCGTAATCCCTCAACCTAGAACAGATATTTGTTATGTTTTAAACTTGAATGTTTATTATTTTTATGATTAAAGAATGTTAGTCCTCATATCTTTACTATACGCAATGTCACAGACATATTTCAGACTATGCATTATGTAAGATTAAATAAAAGGTTGCACCATCAGGTTCTGAAGCAGATAAAAGGGTTAGACAGTGCAAGTTTGTGGCAAAGACTCAATTCCTTTGCTGGCTCATGCATGTGGGAGGAAGTTAGGTTTGTACTTTATAGATTTATAATGTTTTATAGTTTAAAATATCATCTTAAAGGAATTGAGTTTTTGCCACAAACTCTGATTTCCGTATCTATATTTCTTTGTAACTCAATGTCGTACACCTTTGAAATATCAATGGTTTGCACCATGAGGTTGCATAGATATTGGGATCTGAAGATTTAAGTTTGTGGCAAAAACTCAATTCCTTTACTTAAAAAGCACTCAAAATGTGTAAAGCAATTGAATTAAATGGAAAAACATGAAAAATTAGTAAAAACGAGAAGAAAAAAGTAAAAGTTTATCGAGATCTGTAAATCTTGTTATTTAAATTACGATTCTCTGAATTAAATCTGAACCTAGATACTGAATTAAAATCAGGGTCTCCCACTAAACATGATAATTGAGAAACAAAATTAAATAAAAGAAAGGTGGAACATGTCCGTATGGAAACCTTTTTTGATAAACAATCATCAGCTAGTGAGCTACTAATGATCTTAAAGTCGTCTCTCGACTTTCATGTTTTTTGGGACACCCTTTAGTAAACCTGAATACTGTCTGTTATAAGCTTAACAAGAGTCTGGGCGTTAGGATCAGTTAAATCATATCTAAAAGAAAGGTGTGTGTAATGTATTATACTAAAGATGGAAATACATTTGGGGATTTTGTACATTTTACTTTCACGTATGAAAAGTAGGGCTGAGAAAAGTTCCGTTAACTAAACAGAAGTTTTTTTAAATCAAGGGAACGAATGGCAAAACCTTAAAATGGCTTTAAATTGCATAAAACTTGCAGAAAATAAAAAAATAAAACCAATTCGTGTTTTTTGATTTAGGGGTTTACAGGTAGAATTGAGGCGAGAGTTTATTTCATTTCATAATTGTTGTAAAATTTAGTAAAATCTTAAGAAATGATGAATATTGCATAGACCCTTGCCCCCCTCTTTTACTCAATAGAAACATCAGTAACTATCAATTTATCTTTACTCAGCCTAACCTGGATTTGTGAGCAGAAGGAAGGGGAAGGGTTCACAACAGAGAGGCGTATACAAGGGGGGGGGGGCTAATGGGACCCAGCCCCTTCCCCATGATCAGTGAAATCTATGGTTACTGAGCCCCCCCCCCCAGGAAAGAAGCAAAATCACCGCCCGCGGATAATTTCTTGAATGCACCCCAGGAGACCTGAAAAATGTACTTACCTATGGTTTGCTACGATGGTCCAAAGTACATTAAGAATTGCAACATTGAACAGATTTAAAACCAAGAACGGTTCGTTTTGTTTACTCCGGAATAGATCTCCAATCTTATCTGCTTCTTCTACTAGAACACCCTCTAGGCCTGGGGGGTAGAGATTGTAAAATCATTTTGAAAATTTTTCTCAATACAATTTTGATAAATCATTCCAAAAATTGTTTTTATATAAAAATCGTTTTAATAAATTGTTGCAGAGGTTGAGGGTAATCATTTCGTCTTTTTTTAACTTCAGTTGTCGAAGGTGCTTCATGGCCATTGGGAGGTTTTTATAAATTGCTCAATCATTTTATCAAGAATAAAGTCTATTTCTGTTTATTATGAAGAGCTTAGTCGTAAAACTAGTTTTACAGTAATTTGCTTCTAAGGAAAAATAAACCACTTCAAGGTGTGTTATTCAAATATACTTTTGAAATTTTGATAAGTAAACCAATAAAAAGTTGCACTCAAAAAAAGTCTAACACCGGTATCCCCAAGTTCCTAACCCCCCTAACAATAAAAAATAACAAAGTTTTCTAAATTATGCATATTATTATACCTTTTTTTCCAAATCCAAAATCTTTTAATGTTTTGAGAACAAATCTTCTCTGTGTCTTCCAAGCCTCCCCATCGTTAAAAAGCAATCTGGAAGATTAACGAAAAAAAACTTGTTAGGGATGATCTTTTTAATTTTCTCAACACAGACTATTTTTTGTTCTTCAATTACCCTAGTTTTTGTCCACTACATACCCTAGTTTTTGTCCACTACATACCCTAGTTTTTGTCCTTGACATACCCTAGTTTTTGTCCTCTACATACCCTAGTTTTTGTCCTCTACATACCCTAGTTTTTGTCCTCTACATACCCTAGTTTTTGTCCACATACCCTAGTTTTTGTCCTCTACATACCCTAGTTTTTGTCCTCTACATACCCTAGTTTTTGTCCTCTACATACCCTAGTTTTTGTCCACTACATACCCTAGTTTTTGTTCTCTATATACCCTAGTTTTTGTCCACTACATATTAGTTTTTGTCCTCTACATACCCTAGTTTTTGTCCTCTACATACCCTAGTTTTTGTCCTAGCATTCTGTATTTGTAAACAAAGCTATCAGGACGCCCAGCTGCATTGTCCTGGCTGAAACAAATCTTGTTCTTAATATAGAAATAACGACCCTGCAGTGATATACAGTCATCGTCGTATATATCAATACAATTAAGCCGACTTTTGATTTCATTTTTGTATTCCTACCATGCTTTCAAACAGCATGGGCTTCAAATAAACATTGAAAAGAGAAGCTATCAATTCACAGTTTTACTTTGCTTACTTAAAATCTCTTTAAATGAAATGAAGGCTTGTTAGAAATAGAAAAGAAAAGTCGTCTCCATTGTTTTTATATAAACATTAAACGCCGACTACTTAGATAAATTCGAATAATCCTCCATTTACAGAGTCAAATGTCCAAATCACGACGCCACATAAAAGCTTTGTCTGATCAAGTATGGATGCCATATCCATTATTTTTTTCTTGAAAAATGTTCATTTATGCAAAACAAAGGAAGAAACTGAATTAGCATTGAACAATTTCCAAAACGGACACACGACAATATCTTCCAAAAGATGGATTAGATACAGTTTTAAAGGCTACCGTTTAGAATTTTAATTGGATGGTCACTTTTAAATTTCAAGAACAATCCCATCAAAAAACTAAAAATTTAAAAGGAAATCAAAATCAACCTTTTAGATAATAAACAATAACATTTTATGATTGGTTTATTTTTGAAAAATAGCCAAAAAGAATGAATTTTTCTTTTTATTAATGATTATCAAGGGAAGTTTGAATAACAAGATTGATTCCTAAAAAGCTCCTTTGCTGTATTTAAATCGTAAAGAATAACGGCAGGATATTCTCCAAGGAACAGGCCAACCTAGAAGAAAAACGTATTAAACATTTATGACAGATTAAAGTTATATACTGCCTAAATATGTATGCCAAACTAAATCTTCATTAAGACCTTTCAACAGTTATTGAAATTCAATATTATTTATTATTTTTCGGTATGCCCAGTAGGACTGATCAAAATTCCGTAAACAACATGGAAGATTTTCAAAATTATCGGAAGAGTCCGTTAACGAATGGCAAAAATAGTAATTCATTAACAAACGGAAATAGTCGTTTAAAAAACCGTTTTAAAAAACGAGACATATGTTTAAAAAAACTGCAGCGTTTGTTATTGTTTTTATGCTTAAAGAATAAGCTACATGACACTTTTTTACGTATTTTGATGTTATTTTAGTTGTTTTGATATTTTTGAACGTTGTCGTCAAATTTTTTCCAGCTAATTTTACATAAAGTAATCGTTAACGGCTCGTTAACGTGTGGCACCTTTACCGATTTCTAAAATATCTGCACTTAACGCCGTTAAAAATACTAAGATCAATAAGGAACTGTAGTTTTCAAAGATAACGGAAAGTTTCCGTTCTTTGCTAAAAATATTAAGATCAATAAGGAACTGTAGCTTTCAAAGATAACGGAAAGTTTCCGTTCTTTGCTAAAAACGCACTACCTGTAAAAACAAAGTTGTAACGGTTATAATTAACCGTCCAAAAAACGGCTTGAAGAAAGACAGAAAGTGTCCAGTGTTTGACTTTATAGCTAGATTTTTTTAAGTTATAGATAAGATTTGTTTTTAATACTTGATTGATAATGAATTCAAAACATTACTTAGTAACCATAATTAGGACATTCTATAGACAACAAGAATTGACTAAAAATTTAGTCAAGTTCAAGGTACTAATGCAAGGAATTTTATTTCAGAGGTGTACGCATTTTTTTTACTGCAGTGTACTGTCTTTGGGCGGAAAAGTAAACACAAGACGGATGTCACAGCCTGCAACATGGAATCCATTTTCACTAAAATAATCTATGAAATATTCTGGTCAAAGGAAACTGTTGTGTGAATTATCAAAATTAAATGCTTTGTCCCTCCTCGGATACTAGACGAACACTGATGCATCTATTTTTGTTTACAAATTCCGCCCAGAGAAAACTGGTTTCAATATGTACGCAGAGTATACACAACCGCAATTAACTTTCCTTGCATTACCCGCATAGAACAAGCGACGCTGTTTTAGAGTCTGAAAACGACCCGCACGACCACAAAAACGGGCGCCGGCCCGACTCTGTTTTAGTACTA